GAAATTGAATACAGCAGCATAAAATGATTTAAAAATAGAAGAAAAGAAAGTAAGAATTACACAAAAGATGTTTAATACAACTAAGACAAAAATTTAGGTTACCCAGAGTAAAGGGGAGTTACAAAAGCGCAAAAAAATACCTGATGGTGAGATATCGTCTAAGAAATGTTAACATATGACAAAAGGAATTAAGACATGTATTCAAAATGCTCTAGAAATCTAAAAATCCATAAATACAATCAAGTTGGACTGAGGAACTCTGTACTAATTGTACTAACCAATAAAAATTAATAGAAAAAAGCATAAATATTAAAATAGCTAAAGAAAAATATTACTTTCAAAGGAGCAATAATATACTGATAGCTTGTTTGCCTAAAAGAAGCCAATTGAATCCAGTAAGCATTTTGGAAAGCAGTGTGGAGGTTCCTCAAATAATAAAAAAGGAAACAAAGAAACAAAGACAGAAACAGATCTACTATATAATCTGGTTATTTTACTAACTTATCAGTGGCCATATACTCAGAGGAACAAAATAATTATGTGGAAGAAAGCTTTGCATTCCTATGGTGATTATAGCAGTATATAGAATACATAAGAAATAGAAACAGGAGTGTTCACAAACTGGTGAATGGATACAGAAAATGTAGTACATAGAAACAGTGGAATACCATTAAGTCATAAAAAATGATAGCCTGCCATTGTGACAATATAGACGGAGCTAGAGATTACAATGTGAAGTAACCCAGACACAGAAGTTGAGAGAATTGCTGGAAACTGGAGAGCGTAGTGTGGAGGTATGGTGAGGAAAGACAGGTCAATGGTCACTCAGATACAGTTTGGAAGGAACAAGACATTCTGATGTTCTGAGACACTATTGCACAATAAAGTGATTACAGAAAACAGTTTATTGTATCTTTCAGGAAGCTACAAAAGAATATTTTGAATATTTTCACAATAAAGACATAATACTTGTTTGAAGACAGATATGTTTGACCAAATTTAAGCATTCCATCATCTATATAATTAACAAAACATTATGTGAAACTCTATTAATGTGCACAATTGCTAAGTTTTGAAGAATCATTTAAAGTAAATTTAAATTAAAAATAAAGAGAATAATCAATTAAAATACGTCTGAAAATTAATAATTAAATAAAACCATACTGAGGAAAACAACAACTGAAGGTACTTATCACTAGCACAAATATACACTAAAGGAAATATTAAATGATACATCGAAGGCAGAAAAAAAAGTTATTCCAAAGGGAGGCATAGAGATGTAGCAAAAAATATAGAGAAATGAAATAGTAACAAGGTAGTAAATTTAAAAATATGAAGCAAAAATAATCAGAACTAAAAGAATAACTAGAAGATTCACTATCATTATGAGTTTAAAATATTTCTGCTAATTTCAATTGCATGACGATTATAAGTCTAACAGTAAAATATTAACAACTACTGAGAATCATATAGGAGAATATTTCCATGACTTGGAGGTTAAGGAATAGAGTACAAAGTCTCACTAATAATGTGAGAAGCATTAACAAATTAAACTACCAAAAAATCAACTGGGATCTTACCTTATTAAAAACATTTTGCACAGCAAAAGAAATCATCAACTGACAAAAGAAAACTCACAGAGTGGGAGAAAATTTTAGCCCACTGACCTTCAAAGGACTTCTATCTAGAACATACAAAAATTCAGAAAATCAGACCCCTGAAATTCAAAGACTCATTCCAAAAATGGGCATCTGAGATGAGTATGCACTTCTCAGATGATGAAATACTAATGGCAAACAAATATATGAAGAAATGTTCAGTTTCATTGATCATTCAAGAAATGCAATTTAAAACAGCACTGAGTGTCACATCACACCAGAAAGAATTGCTGTCATTTAGAAATTAACCAATAACAAATTCTGGAGGGACTATGGGAAAAAAAGGAACCCTCGTCTTCTGTTGGTTGGAATAGAGACTGATACAATAATCATGAAAATCAGTGTGGAGAGTTCTCAGAAAATTAGGATTAGAGGTCCCATTTGACCCAGCTGTTCCCTTATGGGTATTTCCTCAGAAGAATTAAAAACATCATACAACAGCAACATATGTGCACTCAGCTTTATAGCAGCACAGTTTGTAATAGCTAAATATTGGAAGCAACTCAAATGCCCATCAATCGAGGAATGAATTTAAAAAGATGTGGTATTTTTATACAATAGAGCAATACTCAACCATAAAGAAAAACTTGAGGATTTTATAGGTAAATGGATGCAGCTAGAAACTATACTCACAAATGAAATCAGACACATATGTGTAAAAATTATATTGTCTTACTAGTGTGAGAAACTGAGCAAGCACATATGATTCAAAATATACAATAGAAATTGTAAACTGGGAAGAAAATGTTAGAAAGAAAACATAAATTGATAGCAGAAAGGAAGAAATGGAAAAACAAATACATATATATATATATATATATATATATATATATATACACACACATGCACACACAATATGAGTAAGATAGCTATACTGTCAGCTTCTCTCTGTTCCCTTAAAAGGACATTATGTTCTAATATTGTTTAGACAAGATATTATGCCTATATCCTGTACTTTGATTAACTTCTAGGAAGACAACAATATACATTGTACCAACTATTGTAACTGTACTACTACCTGTTTTGCAATTTGGTTTCATTGTTTGTTTTTTTTCCTCCTTAAGAAATTGAAAAAAGAAAACCAAACCAAATCAAACTTCTACTATTAGAGATTCCTGCTCATAAAATTTACCACTAAGAAAGTGAAAAGCCAAGTCAGAGGGTGGGAAAAGATATCTGCACACAAGTAGCCAGTACAAATTGCATACTGAATATATAAAGAAGTTTTTTAAATCACTCAAAGGTTATTGTAAAACCTACATTCCAGATATTATACTAGTCTTCTTTTTCCCAGACCTGGTACAAGATATTTGCCACTTTTTCATTTTAAAGAGAGTAAAACAAAATAAAACATAACAAAGATGATCAGAAAAGAATTATGCAAATAACACAGGACTTCAAACGAGACAAGAAATCAACAGTGGCTACCATAATGTCTCTTGTTTTCCTCGAAACTATTGTCCAAACCTTCACATGCAATAAATTCAAACAAAACAAAATAGTATAAAACCAATCCAAACAAAAGAATAAAAGCATTATGGGTCTCCAAAACCAGACAATAGGAAATCAAGAATGACTACCATAAAGTTTCTTGTTCTCTTCAAAATATCTGTCCATATCCTCACACATATTGAAATGAAATAATAGAAAACAAACTAAACTCAATCAAAATGAAGAATAAAAGCACTATCAGACTTCAAAACAAGATGACAGGAAATCAGCAATCGCTATCATAATGCCCCATTTTCTTCAAAATAGCTGTTAATATCACCACGCATAATAAAACTGATTCTTGTAAACTCTTTAGGAAAAATTCTAGGAATGTAAAATCCTACTCATGTACATCTATCCCTTCTGTATTAGAGGAAAAAAACAACACAAAACAAAAAATGCAAGAGAAACAAGAAACAACATAGGAAAATAAACAATAATAACAAACCCAAAACAATAACAATATAGGCTTTCAAGACAAAATGTTAGGGACATAACAAAGATTGTTATTTTGCCTAGTTGTCTTCAAAGTGTTGTTCAGATTACAAGATATAAACATCGATTAGATCAAAATTGATCTAATCCTAGAAATGTTAACTGTTTTGTTCCAAGAGGTAACAGAATTAGTAATACAATCATCCTATCTATCTTGAATGTATATTAAAAAGTATGTCTTTTTTTCTTTTCCCTTAATTTTTTTCTTTTTCCTTGAGTTATTTTCCCCTTTGGTCAGTTTCTTACCCTTTCACAATATTTATAGAAGATTTTGTATCTTATTTTTTCCTTCAGTTTCATGTATAAGGGAGACAATATCTTATTTACACATGTAAATTTGATTTATTTCACTTATGAGTATGGTCTCAAGTTGCATCCATCAAGTCTCCATGTGGTCTTTGTTTACAGCTGAGTAGTACTTCATTGTATAAAAATATCACATCTTGGTAGTCCATTCCTCAGTTGATGAGCATTTGGATTGTTCCCCAACACTTGACTATTATACATTGTGCTGCTATAAACATGGGGGTACATATTTCACTGTGGGATGACACTTTTATTTCTTCTGGGAATATGCCCAGAAAAAGGATAGCTGGTTCAAATGGGACCTCAACTCCCAGCTTTTTGAGGAAACGCCACATTGATTTCCACGATGGTTTTACCAGTATGCACTCCCAGCAATAGTGCAGAAGAGTTCCTTTTTTCCCCACACCCCTTCCGGCATTTGTTATTGGTGGTTTTCTTGAAATTGACCATTCATTCTGAAGTGAGATAGAATCTCAGTGTTGTTTTAATTTGCATTTCTTTAATGAAAAATGATGCTGAGCATTTTTCATGTATTTATTTTCCACTTGTATTTCTTCAGCTCAGAAGTGTGTATTCATCACAGATGCTCAATTTTGGATAGGGCCTTTGAATTTTGGGGATCTGATGTTTCTTTTAATTCTTTATAAGTTCTAGATAGAAGTCCTTTATCTGAGGGACAGTTGAGTATGATTTTTTGCAATTCATGGATTTTCTTTTTGCTCTGTGGAGATTTCTTTTGACATGAAAAAACTTTTTAGTAAGATCTCATTTGTTGATTCTGGAAGTATTTCCCATGTAATTTGAGTTTTGTTCATGAATTCTTTGCCTATCACTATGTCTTCAAGATTTCTATCTAATTTGTCTTCAAGCAGATTGTCATGGTTTATGTTGGTGGCTCCCAGGCCTCTTGCATTTGCATTGTGCATTTGTGATTGGTTTATTGTCTAGTGCTTGGATTGATGGTGTCAGTGCTATACCCACCTAGGGGTGGAGACAGGATGTAATGTAATGGCAGGAAGAAGGTGTGTTGTGCTCTTTTGCCTGTTTCCTCCTTGCTGTTCGCAGCTGCCATGAACTGAGGCTCTGCCATGCCAGCCTGCCTTGGAACCAACTGAGTATGGACTGAAACCTCCAAAAACTGTAAGAAATAAACCTTTCGTTTCCAACTTTGGGCTTCAGGTATTTTGTCTCGGAGACAAGTAAAAAGTAACTAAGACACAGATCTAGTGTTTCTGTTTTAATATTTCGATCTTTGATCCATTTTGACTTTAGTTTAGTGCAGAGTGACAGGCATAGATCTAGTTTTAATTTTCTGCATAGGGAAAGCCAGGTTTTCCATCACCACTTATTAAAGAGGCTATCTTTCTGCTAGTGAAAATGCTTGGCACCTTTGTCAAAGATAAGGTGATTGCTTGTGTTTGTAGTAGTGTATGGATGATCTAATCTTTTCCATTGATCTTCAGATCTGTTTTTATTCCAATACCATGCTAATTTTATCCAGTAGCTTTGTAGTATAACTTCAAGTCCAGAATTGTGATGCTTCCTGCCTTGCCTTTGTTGGAAAGAATTGCTTTTCCAGTTCTAGGTGTCTTCTGGATCCAGGAGGCTTTTAGAACTGATTTTGCTATAGTCCTTAGGAGCAGAGCTAAGATGGCAGATCAGTAAGCAACAAAATACAGAGCCTCCCTGAGAGAAACAACTCAGATACCAGAATAAAACATCTTGGAGAGGACCAGATAGAGGGAGATGGATCCTCTTGACCTAGGAAGAAACTAAAGGGAAAAGAGCAAGTCAAATCATGGTCCAGGGCTACCATCGGAGCAGCTAAAATTAGCGACCACGGTGCTCTCACTGGAGCTGCAGGAACTCACATCTCTGTGACTCACTAGAGCCATGGTCATGCTGAAGTCCAGGGTCGAGAGAATGGAGCCAACATGGAGACCTGCACTAACCCGTAGTGAGTGCTCAAAATAAGACCCTCCCATGGGAGAGGGACGACCAACTGGACGACATGTTGGAATCAGGGAGGAAAGACATGAACAAGGAACGGCAGTGACTTCAGTGGATTATCTTGCTTTGAAATTTATGTCTCTTACATTGCTTTTTTATGTTCTGTTTTGTTATTTTTAATTTTACCCTCTTTAAAAAAAGAAGTGATTTTGCTAGATATGTGAGGTATGCTAATGATATTTTAATTGGAATTGCATTAAATCTGTATAACTGTTTTGGGAGAATGGTCATTTTCATAATGTTTGTTCTTTCTATTCATGAACAAGGAATGTCTTTCCATTCTCTGAAATCCTCTTCTATTTCTTTTTTCAGAATAATATATAGATATTTTACTTCCTTTGTTAGCTTGATTCCTAAGTATTACATTATTTTGGATGCAATTGTGAAGGACGTAGTTTCTCTTATTTCTCTTTCAGTGAGTTTGTTGTTTGTGTACAGGAATGTTATTAATTTTTGAGTGCTTATTTTGTATCCAGCTACATTTTAATTTGGTTATTATATCTAGAAGTCTTTCAATGGATTTTAGTGTATCTTTTGTGTAGAGTATCATGTCACCTGCAAATAATGATAATTTACGTTCTTCCTTTCCTATCCTCATTCCTTTTATTTCTTTCTTTGTCTAATTGCTCTGGCTATCGTTTCCAGCATTATACTTAACAAGAGTAGTGATAGTGGACAGCCTTTTCTTGTTCCTGATTTTAAAGTGAAAGCTTTTGAGTTTTGATCATTTAATATGATTATAACTGTTGGTGTGTCATAGATGGCTTTTATTAAATTGCAGGAAAGATCATGTATTCCAGTTTTCCATAGGGTTCATATCATGAATGACTGTCGGTCTTTATCAAAAACATTTGCTGAATTTATTGAAATGATCATGTGATTCTTAACTTTGGCTCTATTGATATGGTGTATTATATTTATTGATATGCATATATTGAACCATCCCTGCATTCTTGGGATGAATCCCACTTCATTGTGGTATATAACTTTCTTGATGACTTGCTGCATTGTTTTCAGGTATTCTAATGAGGATTTTTACATTGATGCTCATTAGGGAGACTGGCCTGTAATTTCTCTTTTTTGGTTGGGTCTTTATCTGGTTTGGGTGTTACAGTAATCCTTACTTCCAGGAATGAGTTAGGGAGAATTGTTTCCCTTTCAATTTTGAAGAGTTTGAGGAGTGCTGGAATTAAGGCTTCCTTGAATTTCTTGTAGAATTCAGCTGTAAATCCATCAGGACCTGTTTTTTTTTTGTTTTTTTTTTTGTTTTTTTTTTTTTTTTTTGTAAGGTTCTAATTACATTTTCAGTTTCATTACCTGCAATTGGGTTATTCAGCAGTTCCATACCTTCTTGATCTAGCTTTAGTAATTCACATGTTTCTGAGAATCTACCCATTTCTTCTGTGTCATTGAACTCGTATGAGTAAAGTATTTTGAAGAAAATATTGAAGATCTTTTGCATTTCCACAGATTCTGTGTGATTTTGCCCTTTTCATTCCTTATTTCAAGAATTTGAGTTTTTTCTTTCCTTTTAAAAATAAGGTTGGCTAGGGGCTTATCAATTTTACTTTCTTTCAAAGAACTAGCTCTTTGATTTATTAATTCTTTATATTGTTTTCTTAGTCTCAGTTCCATTAATTTCTGCTATGATATTTTTTATTTCCTGACCGGCGCAGCTCCCCAATGAGACAGGAAACGCTTCAGGTGGGTAACAGGAACTGCCAACTTTATTGTTGCGGGTTCTGGCTTATATATCTGACTGTGGCCAATCAGGCTGCCACGAGGGCTGCCACGAGGAGGAAGGGCTGGAATGAGACGCGGGCTCTGGCTAATATACTCAGCTGTGGTGAATACGAAGTGAGCACGGGGTGGCTAATTTGGAGAGGGACGTAGCACATTGCGGAAGCTGGTGTGTTCCTTAGTCCCGGGTGGGGTATGGTATGTTGAGCACCTGCGCCCAACAATTTCCTTCCTTCTTTTGGCTTTGGCTTGACTTGCCCTTCTTTTTCTAGATGTTTGAGGTGTAGCATCAGGTTGTTTATTTGTGTTCCCTCTGCTTTGCACAAGTGAGAATCCACCACAATATACTTCCCTCTAAGGACTGCTTTAATTTCATCCCACAAATTCTGGTAAGTTGTATTAGTATTTTTGTTTGCTTGTAGATATTGTTTAATTTCATCTTTAATTTTTTCCTTGACTCATTGATTGTTCAGCAGTGTATTATTTAATTTCCATATGTTTATGTAGTTTTTTCATTTTCTTTTGTTATCAATTTCCAGTTTCATGGCACTGTGATAGGATAGTATTTATGGGGTAATTTTGATTCTTTTGCATTTACTTAAGCATGTTCTATGTGCTAGTATGTAGTCTATTTTAGAAATATCCCATGTGGGAGCTGGAGATTTAGCTCAGCGGCGTAAGTGCCTGCCTTGCAAGCAGGCAGTCGTGAGTTCAATCCCTGGTACCGATAAAAAGGAAAAAGACAAAAAAAAAAAAAAAAAAAAAAGAAAAGAAAAGAAAAGAAATATCCCATGTGAAGCTAAGAAGAATATATATTCTAATGTTGTGGGGTAGAACACTCTGTCCATGTCTACTAAGTCAATTTGTTCAAAAATTTGATTCAGTTCTGTTATTTGCTTGCTGATTTTTTTTGTCTAGTTGATCTTAATGTCTCCCATTATAATTGTATTATTGCTTATTATTGATATCTCATTTTTATTAATATTTGTTTTATACAGCTTTTTTGTTCTCATATTTGTGGGATATATATCTTGCTCTTAAAGTTTTCCACTAACCAGTATGTAGTGACCTTGTTTATATCTTGATCTTTCTTGATTTGAAGTTCACATTGTCTGTGCACAGCTACCCTTGCCTTTTTTGCGGGGAGGGCTCCTCTTCCATGGAGTATTGTTTTCCATCCTTTGACTTTCAGTATATGAATTTCCTTTTGTGTTAGACAGCTTTCTTGTATATAGCATATGGTTAAATGCTGTTTCTTGATCCATTCTGCCAATCTGTTTCTTTTAATTGGTAAAACTGAGGCCATTTGCATTCATCTTTCTAAGTGATATATAATGTTTTATTTTTGTCATCTTATTTTTATGCATTGATTCTTTACCTTTCTCCTCTGTTTAATTGTCCTGCATGGTATTTTTTTCTGTTATTATTTGTGAAATCATAGTTATTTTTATGTCTAACTAGAATATGTTTCAGTATTCTTTGAAGGGTTGTTTTGGTGGTCAAAAGTTGTTTAGCTGTTCTTTGTCAGGGATATATCTTATTTCTCCAATGATTTTGAAAGATAAATTCTCAAGGTACATAAATCTGGGTTGGAAGTTATTTCCCTTTAGGATTTGAAAATTTTCACTCCATCCTCTTTTTGACTTGATTGTTTGTGTTGAGAAGTCTGTTGTGATTCTGATGAGTTTTCTTTTATAGGTGATTTGTGTCTTTGCTCTGACAGCTTTTAATATTCTGTTCTTATGTTGAATTTCTGGGATGTTGATTATTATATATCTGAGTGTAGATTTATTTTGGTTACGGGTAACTGAAATTCTTTTCTTTTTTATCGGTACCGGGGATCGAACTCACCACCGCCTGCTTGCAAGGCAGGTGCTTATGCCGCTGAGTTTAATCCCCAGCCACCAGGTAACTGAAATTCAGTATGTTTCACTTATCTATATATTTCCCATGTTTGGGAAATTTTCAGCTATTATCTTTGTAATGGTCTTTTTATATTATTTATGTTGTCACCTTTTTTCCTTCACACCCATCATTATTATATTGTTTTTCTTTGCATTGTCTTGCAATTATTGAATTGTTATTTCCTGATTCCTTATTTTTTTAAAAAAAAGATCTTTCTTTTTCTCTTCACTAGCTGCAGTCTTATATTTGAGATCTAAAAGTCTATCTTCACATTCATTCAGGTAGCTTTTGCCAGCTTTTGATGAAATGTTTAATTTCTGGAAAAGCTCTTTAAATCTGTTTCATGCGTTCCAATTATTTCTTATATTGTTCATTCAAAGTTTCCATTGTTTTATGGTGCTCTTCTTTTTTTTAAACTATGTGTTCTTTAGATGATCTATATTATTTAATCAATGTGGGTTTTTTTTTTTTTTGCATTGTTTCGTAGAGGTGACTGTGAACAGACCAATTCAGAAACTGAAAATTTAACAACTGAAAATGATCACTTAAGCAAATTAAAATAATATATCCATTTAAAATATCAGCATTTTTTTTTCATTATGTTTATCATTTCTTGTTTTACTTGGGCAATTGAGTCCTTTTACAGCTTCATGGAGTTGTTTCTTTACTTCAGTTGCTATCATTTAAGAAGTTTCATGTGTGTGGTTTACACTTTCTTCTATGTCCATGTCTCCTAGGCTTTTGTGGGATGGTCTGGGTGTTTGAGACTGCATATTGCTTTTTCATTTTGTCATTTTCCTGTATTACTCTGGGAAGCTGAAAGCAAAGACTCAGTTGTTTCCTGGGTGAGAATGGCTGTCTGTACTGGAGATAGTATGGTGATAGTTTCCCCAGCTAAGTGAGAGTCATTAGACAGGGCTTACTGGAGTGTTAAATGGCACTCAGAGGCTCCCCAAATGGGGAGAGTACACTGGAAAACCCCACCCAGCACACCAAAGCTCCTCCGTTGCTTGAAGTTGCTGGGTGGGGCCCTACCAGTTTTAAAGTGATTTACCAAAGCTGCTTTGCTAGTTGGAGTTTAGAGACCCTCAGCTCATGCAGCTCAGCACACAGAGGCTCTATGGCTATTGGCAGTCACTGGGTAGGGCCCTACAAGGTTTAAGCAATTTACAATGGTCACAGGGCCAGGTAGATTAGGCTGTGCAAGTCTTTACCTCATACCATACAGTGCACTGAATCTACCCAGCTGCTTGAGATAGTTGTGCAGGGCCCTGCCAGGCTCTATGTGATGTATCAAGGCTGTACAGCTAGGGAGAATCTACTATGCAGGCTTTCAACCTGTGCCCAATAAATTTGCTTATGTGGAGCAAACAACTGAAAATGATCACCTAAGCAAATTAAAATAATATATCCAGAGTAAGTAATGAAAGAAACTAAGTGGTTCATTTCTTTAGAACTGCTTATTTCTGGGAATTGAGGGTATAGCTGAGTGACTCAACACCTGCCTGATGGAAAGCTTGATGTTCTGAGTTTGATTCCTGGTATCACTCCCCTTCCAAAAAGAACTGCTTTTTTCAATCCAGTGTAGAAAAATAGTAGGAATTGGTCTATTCAGAGTCACCTCTATGACACAATGCAAAAAAAAAACCCCACATTGATTAAATAATGTAGATCATTTTGTATAGAAATCTTCAACAGAACAATACTCCTTGCTCAAAGAAAGTCATGGCTATTACTACACTATTCACTTTTCCTCTCAAAGTGGTCTCTTAATGCCTGTAACGGGATAAGTTAGTGAAGAGAAAAGAAAAACTGTATTAAATGGAATGAAATAGTGATGTCAACATATTCTTCCTCAACCACAGCAAAGACAGCTTAACTGTGAGTTGCTTCAGAATGTGATTATGAAGTGCCTTCCAGGTTAGTGGAGACAAATAAACATTGGGAAGAGAAAACATAACAGTTGATTCAGAGAACATTTCTCTAGAAAACAGGAGTTTGGTAGGACCCCTAAGTAACAAAGCCTAAATCATATTAAGATTCTAGGTTAAATTAGAAAACAGTGATCTCAACATATACTCAAGTTAGCAGAGTGAAATCTTTGTCACTTATACACCCACAGGTTAAACATAGTGGTAAACTGGAAGATCCTATCCATGTGCCTTTTCTCAGGGCAAAGGAGATTTGAAGAGAATAAATTTGGGAAATACTTCAACTATGTCTCTCAATTGATTTGAAAAACAGGCTTCACATTTTATACATATCTTGCCAGTGACTCTAAAATGTGTAAGAAAGTCTTAGAGGAATTGTTTGTACTTTCACAGAAGCCATGTGACTCAAGACTTGTTTCTCTCTCTCTCTCTCTCTCTCTCTCTCTCTCTCTCTGTCTCTCTCTCTGTCTCTCTCTCTCCTCTCTCTCTCCCTTTTCCTGTCCCTCTCTCTCTGTCACACACACACACACACACACACACACACACACACACACACACAGATGCACACATCAGAGCCCTACCAAGGCATTGCTGAGCCTGTGGTTGGGTTGTACTTTAACTGTACTGTTTATCCCTAAATGTAAAATGCTATTTTTCCCCAAGATTAATCACTTCAACCATCAAATCTCCACTTTCCATAAAAGGCCAAGAAACTCACGCGACTTTGGCACACACAGTACATTTCCAGCTGCCATCAAAGCCCATGACCCGGCATTCACTGCACACCCTCAGTGAGCAAGCCTGGCACGGGTCTCCTCGGTCAAAGATTAGGCCCAAGTTTTTCTGACAGTGAACACAGACTCTGCTGGTCTGCTGTTGGCTCTTCCCGCTTCTACGTTTTGCTTCTAAGAGTTCATTTTTCAGCTTTCTAGAAAGACAGACAGAGAGAGAGAGAGAGAAATTCACTTTAAAAACCACAGGGAAGGAGTGTAGACTGGTACAACCACTATGGTAATCAGTAAGCAGAATTCTCAGAAGACTAGGATTGAAAGATCCATTCAGTCCAGCTTTTTGCCTTCTAGCTATTTTCCCAGAAAAACTTAAAGTCATATCACAGTGATATATGTGCACCCATGTTCATAGCAGCACAATTTGTAATAACTAAACCTTGGAAACTACCAAGATGCCAATCAACTGCAGAGTGAATTAAAAAGTTGTGGTATTTTATACAATGGAATATTACTTGGCTATAAAAAGGATGATCTTGAGGCCTTCATAGGTAAATAGAGACAACTTGAGGCTATCCTCATAAAGAAATAAATAAGAATCATATTGATAAATATCACATTGTTTCTTTGGTATAAATAGAAATAAGAACAGTAGGAGTAATAAAACCCAAAATGTATACTTTCTGTTGTAAAAAAGAGAGGAAAAGAAAGTGCTCTAAAGGATATAACTGCATGTATGTTTAAGTGTGTAGGAATGATAACCATATTACTAAGTTTTTGTTGATCATTGAACAGAAAGTTTTTCAGTCTCGCTGTTTGAATGTCCACTTTATATGCTTTACTTTTGTAACTTGAACAACTGTTTCTAAGATGACAATATGTAATTTACCAACTAGCGATTTTTTACTGTTTTTTTTTAAATTTTGTATTATTTCTATCCTTTTTCTGTTTTGATTTTTTTCTCTTTAAATAAAAAACCCGTAGGGAAGCAGGGATCTATTTCAGAGTTACTTTAATTTGGAAGAACATTTGAAACGAGAGAGCCAAATACTTTCAATAAATACATTTTCTCCCTCCATAATCAATCAACCATTCTTTGATATTAGCCATTGGGTGATATACAGGTGTTTTGACTTTGACATCCTCCATTAGAAATATTTTTCTGTAAGTATTTATTTGCATTGTACTCTACCTTATCTAAGACATCTTTGACATTGTAGGGCTGGAGCACTGCCTCCGTGTGGTGGCAAATCTATGGCATGTGTGACACAGTGGACTGTTCATATCATCGAAAGCTCCAAAAGTTTCTCCATCACTGAATGTGTATAGTACCATGCTCTTTATCTGCCTAGGTATGCTACATGAGGCAACGGTGTGATTGGTACTTTCTTTAAAGTGACCTGATGAAGATTATACCTATAAAGTTCAGATCTAAACATTTCTGCTTAGCATTAAAGAATTTCTAACAATTTCCACTAGTGAAAGAATTTTGCTTTCAGATGAGTCTGAGCCCAGGCTTTTTCTTGAATTAGCTGTCTAAACTTAGCAGTGATTTATCCACTTAATTTCAGTCTCTTCATTTCTAAAATGGGAGTAATAATATCTTTGTGTGTTTGTTTTTAAGAGTAAGTGAGATGATATAAGAAAAGTTCCCAGCATAGTGCCAGCAATAAATCTTTTTCTCTCCATGTTTTTCTCTTTCTAATTGACATGTAACCCATGTATGTATTCTTCAGAAATATTCTATTCCAACTGCAGTTCTTGTTCCAGAAACATTAATTAATTACCTGGGAGGTTGCTAGGAATGTAAAACCTCAGGCCCCACTTTATACATACTTCATATCAGATCAGATCAGACCAGAATCTGCTTTTAAATTCCACATATTCACATTTAAACAAAATGTCCACGTAATAACATTTTGAGAAGTGTGGCTTTGGAATATTTATTTGTAAATCTGGCTATATATTGGGATTAATTGGAAAAAATTTAAAAAGTATTGATGACAACTTCTCAAGCTCATAGAGCCTATTTTCATTGGTTTAGGATGTGGTCTAGGCAATGGTATTTATAAGGTTCCTTACTTATTCTAAAATACTGCTGGATTTTCAGCACATTGCTGTGAAAGCTAGGTTAAGTCCCACTTAAATGCACTACAAACAGGCTCCTTTATGTTATTAACCAATCCCTCATCAAAATAATATTTCTACTGTCTGATTTTTCAGATAAATCAAGACTCATCTCACATATTTCATATCATGTTGTTTTACATTTGTAACACTACATTTTGTCAGACCCAACCAGACTCTCATCTTCCCAAAGGCAGGAACACAGCTGTAGTTCTTGTATGTACTGTCCAGGATCCAATTCCATGCTAGGTTATGAAGCAGTTGAATACTGAAAGTTATTTATTATTTCTTTTCACTCTTTAGACTTTGAGGTATTATTAATCTTGCACTACTGTATCCACAGTATACCTATGTTGAAAGATCACACAACCCACTCAAACATGTCAGTAAAATTAACATAAAATATTTTAAAATATAGTACAGATGAACTCATGAATCAGATCTTCTGATTCCCAACATAACAAGAGAGTCATAAATGGAGAATTTTAAAAATGAAGAGTAAAGTTTCAAAATGTTGACTTATGGTCTCATTCTTTCAACCAACAAACATTTATAGAATATCTATGTACTGAAAGTGCTCTAAAGGATATAACTGCATGTATATCTAAGTGTATAAGATAGATAACCAGATTACTGAGTTTTTGTTGGATCATTGAACAGAACTGTTTGCAGTCTCACTGTTTGAATGTCCACTTTATATGCTTTAATTTTGTAACTTGAACAACTATTTCTAAGATGACAAAATGTAATCTATTAACTAGTGATTTCCTACTGTATATTTTTTCCTACTGTTTATTTATTTTCTGTATTACTTGTACCTTTTCTCTGTTTTTTTTTCTCCTTAAATAAAATTTTAAAAAAGGAATATCTATGAAATTCCTATGCTAGGAATTTTGGTATTCAGATTTAAAAATGAATAAAAATAGACCAGTAATAAGGGTTCTCATTATGCCTTGTTAGTTCAGCATGATACAATTAATGATTGACAACTTATCTGTTACAGAAGCCAGCTATAAAGAACAATTATATCCTTTCACACTCTTGTCCATCTAAACACAAAAGACAAGAATTCATGCATATGTTTTCCTCATCTCTGATTTAGAATTTGTGAAATATTATGTCTTCAACGAGAGCAAATGAATTTGGGAGCCCTAAAGAGTTTATTTTTTTGAAACTTGTAAAATATGGACTTCGAAATAAATGGGAAAATAAATGGTCACTTAAAGACCCCACTGTATTATTTATAGGATCACAACAGCTGTTTGAACACCTCACGACACAAGGAAAGTAAAACATTGCTTCCTCAAAATCTATAAGGAATCATGCAGTAGTGATAAAGAAATGAAGTAGTCAAAATGAGTATTGCAACGACAGCAATCCCAAATAGCTCTATTTCGGAGTAGTTTGGTGTGTCAAAGAAGAATATACTGAAGAAATGGAGGATTCTGGGACATTCTTGAGGCAAATTCTCCCCTGGAGGCATCTTTTCAGGTTTAACCACTCAGCAAGAAGTTCCTTAATCTAGATGATCTGAGACTACTTTGAGAAATAATGACCATAAAGTAGTGGATTATTTGTATTGCATTTTTCTTCATATGCTACTTGATGAGATTTAATTAGTAACCAGATTTTTTTCCTTCCTTTTTTGTGGTACTGGGGATCACACCTAGAGCCTTGTACATGCAAGGCAAGAGCTCTACCACTGAGCAACATCCCCAGCCACTAGCAACCAGATATTACCTAGTTGACAGTTGTAGAGTCTAAATGGACTTGGGGCCCAGTATAAATCAAATCGTGTGGAAAAAAAGCTTAACTATATTAGTTGAGCAAGTCCTAAAACAACTGGTGCTTATTGTCCTAAATATTTTGGCTACTATCTCTGAGATATGTGGGGGAAAACTGGGAAAAATTCCAAATGGTGGTAAAAGTTATTAAAGAGCTTGCTTATTTTTCCTAGGAACTGATCTAATTCAATCACATCTAGGATATTCCATGTTGAATGGACACAGTCATTTTCAGACACTCAAATGGCAGAAGAAGAGAAAAAAAGAATGTCTAAGTTTGCTTTGTGCAAACTTAGGAGACTATGACAAGTTAGCTGATTCACAGAGAACAGAAATTTATTTCTTAGTGTTCTGGAGGCTGAGTAGATCAAGATCATGGGGCCTTTGCATACATTGTTACCTCAGCTAGGAATGTCTACAGTCCACACTTCCCACAACCTTTAAATGATTAGTTTTTTCACTAAATATTTCCTGTTGTTTTCTTTTTGTTTGTTTGTTTTTGTTATTTTTATCAGTACCAGGGATCGAACTCACAACCACGTGCTTGCAAGGCAGGCGCGTATGCCGCTGAGCTAAATCCCCAGACCCTGCTGTTGGTTTCACTTCCAGGAATAAGTTGGGATTGGACATGTCAGCTCTCTTGATGCTACATATGATCAGTTGATCCCACTGGTCAATGAAATGTAGTACACAATTACAGATAAGTACTTTAAGACTAAGTGCAAGGTTCATCACACACACTTTTCTTTACATAGAAAATGTGAAGTCAAAAATAGTGTCTGTGTTGCAAGTCTGGGTTGTAGACTGTGGATGCTGATCAGTAAAGTGTCTAACCTATCCAGTTGTACATATTGAGCACAAAAGAGAAACTTCTTTATTTTAAGCTGGCCAAAGTTTTGGGGATGCTGTTATAGCATTACTTAGTCTTTTTTGACTGATATATACAAAACCTAATTCTGAATCTGTCTCAATTCCATATATCTATTCCACTTCAGATTATTGTTGATTCCCCAGAGAGATTTTCACTTACCACCATCATATATTCATTCAAGGCAATATACTTCCCTTATTCATGCCACTTAGCATACTACAATTATACATTTATTGCACTTGTTTAATGTTTGTCTCCCTCAATCCTCTGTGCATTATATGCTTGTGTAAAATTTGTAGACATAGACATGAAGGGAAGACTGCATAGCTTTGCACTTTTAGCACATAATTAGTGATTGAAGCATGATAGATGTCATTTGATTACAAAAAGAAAGCATAAGTAAAAACATATGAACAAT